TCCCACTGATACCAATGATGGGGCACTATTCCTCCCACTGATACCAATGATGGGGCACTATTCCTCCCACTGATACCAATGATGGGGCACTATTCCTGCCACTGATACCAATGATGGGGCACTATTCCCCCCACTGACACCAATGATGGGACACTATTCCTCCCACTGACACCAATGATGAGGCACTATTCCTGCCACTGATACCAATGATGGGGCACTATTCCTCCCACTGATACCAATGATGGGACACTATTCCTCCCACTGATACCAATGATGGGACACTATTCCTCCCACTGATACCAATGATGGGGCACTATTCCTCCCAATGACACCAATGATGGGGCACTATTCCTGCCACTGACACCAATGATGGGGCACTATTCCTCCTCCTAACCACAGGCACTGTGTAGCTGACTACCAACCCTATGGTAATGTTTATTCTCACTGATGTTGGGCCCGGGACATTTTCTACCCCCATTGGCCACAATCCGGCTCCCCTAAAGTCTGAAGGACAGTAAACTGGCCCGTTGTAAAGTTTGGAGACCCCTGGTCTAGATGTACTGTAAAAACGCTAATAAACACTTTTGAACGATACTTAAAAAAATGCTTTTTTTAGCAGCGGTTTTTTAGCTAAAAAAAAAAAAAAAAGCTAGTGTGCGTGGAGCCTTATTTCATCCTCTCCCGTTTATCTCACCCCCCCCCATCTCTCTCTCTCCCGTTTATCTCACCCCCCCCATCTCTCTCTCTCCCGTTTATCTCACCCCCCCCATCTCTCTCTCTCTCCCATTTATCTCACCCCCACTCATCTCGCTCTCTCCCATTTATCTCACCCCCCATCTCTCTCTCTCTCTCTCCCATTTATCTCACCCCCTCCTCATTCATATTGTATCTTTCTTTAATTATCTCTAATCTTTTGTTTTTTCTCTCGCCTCTCCTCCTTCACTTTTTTTTTTTTTTTTTTTTTTTTTTTTTTTTTGCTGCTTTTTTTTTTGCTTTCTTTCCTATTTTTTCTCTCTCCCTCTTTTTTTTAGCTTTCTTGTTTCTTTATGATTTTTTTCCTCACTCTTTCTTCATCTCTCTTTATCCCATCAGCCTGTGTCTCTTTGTTCTCTCCTTCCCCCTCATCTCTTTATTTGGAACTCTTTCTTTCTCTTTTCTCTGCCTCCTTCACTCCGTAACTTTTTGTGTCTGTTTTTGGTTTGCAGATTAATCAGCCACTCGATGGGGAGTAACAGTGGATCACCTGTTCGTGTCGCCTTCCCAGCCTGCAAGAGCCACACCAAGAGTTTTACCACTTCTTCTATAGAAAGTATGAAACTGGTATTAACTGAATGGCAATTATGGATTTTTAACTCTAATTCACAGTAAACCATTAAGCCATATGTTTGAATCAGTACCAAATACCGTTCTCTCTCGCGCAAGTGTATTGACAATGTCGTTGCGGCAAAACACCTACTTGAATGCAGTGGAATATAAGTATTAATTGCATGAGGAACGAGAAGAAAGCTGAACAAAAAAGAAGTCTTTATTTATCTTTGAAGAGATATAGTATTAATATTTATATAGAATCTAAGAATATATATATATTTTTGTGGTGAAGATGGCCCCTCAGAATGCCGACTCGGAATCTATGCAAGTTCGGGACCTGCCTTTGACCAAGCTGAAGAAAGAGGAGACCAAAGAGACTGAAAGCAGGGATGAGACTATCAGCGAGAGCTCCATTGACCGCATCCCTGTCCGTCTCTGGGTCATGCACGGGGCAGTGATGTTTGGTCGGGAGTTCTGCTACGCCATGGAGACAGCTTTGGTGACACCGGTTCTGTTGCAAATTGGTAAGAGGTTTTTTAGGTTTTTTTTTTTTAAAAAAAGAGAAAAAAAAATCCCATTTTTGTGTAGATGTGTTTGTGAATCATTTTGCTTAAAAATGTTGTTTAGCCTCATTAAATGGAGGAACTGTAACTGGTGATGGCCAACGTGGAGAAAAACCTTGAGCCTTTATTGGGTGAGCAGGAACTAGTGGAGAAATGGGCAGGGAGGGGTGGCAGACACTGTTGGGAAGGTGGATGAATCTGGCAGCAGCGTCCATGATAGGCTGTGTAGGGCAGTGTTTCTCAACCTGTGGGTCGTAACCCCTTTGGGGGTCGAACGATCCTTTCACAGGGGTCGCCTAAGACCATCAAAAAAACACATATTTCCGATGTGTAAAGAGCAGCTACTGTGTAGAAAGCAGCTACTCTGTTAAAAGCAGCTACTGTGTAGAAAAGCAGCTACTGTGTAGAAAGCAGCAGTATTGGAGGTAAAACGACAATCATGAATTATAATTACTGGGTAAATAATTATAGGGTTGGGGGTCACCACAACATGAGGAACTGTATTAAAGGGTCGCGGCATTAGGAAGGTTGAGAACCACTGCTGTAGGGAGTTGCAATATTTGAGATGAGAGATACCATGGGAGTCCATCAGTAGCTACAGCATGTTGTGCCCTTGGTTAAAGGATAAGTTCACCTTTCGTAACATGTTACATTCTTTATCAGGATGCAACATGTTACAAATGGACTGGCCCCCGCATCCCCAATGACCCCAAGACCTCCTTCTCTCTAGTTCCCTGGTCTCCTCCTCCCATGCCCGCCTCCAGGACTTCTCAAGGGCATCACCCATCCTCTGGAACTCCCTACCCCAATCCATCAGACTATCACCTACTCTCCTCTCCTTTAGGCGCACCCTGAAAACCCATCTCTTCAGGGAAGCCTACCCCTCCCCCTGATAATTGCCGATCTCCTCTACTCCTCCTACCACTCCATCCCCCACAGCTTTTCCTCCCGTACCAACATCCTCTCCCTCCTAGATTGTAAGCTCCAAGGAACAGGGCCCTCGAACCCCTCGTGTATCGCATTATATTGTTATTGTACCGTCTCATGTATTGTCCCCCATTGTAATGTACAGCGCTGAGCGAACTATTGGCGCTTTACAAATGCTGTGTAATAATAATCCCCGATGTGATCCTCTCCCCCTTGCTAGCTGTCAAAATTTTTTTAAAACGTGGCTTTGGGGGCCCTGCCCGCCTGGCCGCGTCACTCAATCACAGTATTCTGTGAATGAGAACACTGCAAGTTCTGACTGCCAGGGATTTCCAATCCAAGCCGCTTTCTCTCCTCTCCTGACACTCAGCATGGGGTGCCTGCAGGGAAGTTTCCCGCACCTCTGCTGTGTGAACTTGGTCTATGACAAGTCGGGGTTCACACAGAAGCACCGGGGAAACCGCATGCGATTTGGACAGGAATTGCATTCACATGCTATTATTTGTGGTGCAATTTGTGGTGCAATTTGCATTAATTGACCCAAAGTATCGGTATTGGTACTCCTTTATTAAAAAAAAAAAATCAAAAACGGTATTGGTGCATACCTGAAAGTTGTGTAATATCAGCTCACCAAGGAGAGAGAATACAAGGGGTCCAAGGACAGAGCTTTGGGGGGGAATCCCTATGGAAAGAGAGAAGATGGAGGGGGGGAAATCCCTATGTAAAGAGAGAAGATGGAGTTGTAGATGACACTGAAAACGTGCTTTGATGGGTAGGAGGAGAACCAGGTAAGAGCAAAGTCTTGGAGGCCGAGGGCACAGAGGCAACACGAGGGTCTAGAAGTAGGAGTATGGAGGATTTGGCCAATGGTTTTAACAGTTAGTTATTCTCTTCAGAAAAAGTTCTGGTCGTTTCTAAATGCACAGAATATAATTGGCTATTAATATTTTATAAGTAAGAGCTCAGTAGACTGTAGATTGGGGAATACCAGATTGCCTTGGATTGAGAAGAATTTTTTTTTTTTCCTCTATTCGAACAAATCGGATGATGCTTTATAAGGGTTCTTTTTTAACTTCACTCTGGATCAACGTTGGGTTTGGGGTGTGAGGATGAAGGATTTTCATTTGTTACTTTTGTCGTGTGCTTTAAATTTGATGGACGTCTTTTTTTTTTTTTTTTCTTTGTTCTTTTTTTAAAGCCCAGCTGAGGGAAACCTAAAAATCATCCCTCACAGTGCAGCTGTACCTGCACTGTAACCCTAGGCTCACATCTGTGTGTGTGGTGCCCGCTGCGGATCCGTGCAGCCGCACCACCTGCACAGAGAATTGCAGACCCGCGGGCGGGTGTCATTAGTTCTAATGGCAGGCCGCCCGCACTGGAAAACGCAAACTGTACTGGGAACCGAGGTTCCTGTGCGGGCTGCGTTTTCCAAAGAAGTGCAGGGACTTCTTTCCCTGCTTGTCACGAGTACGGGAGTCCATTTAAACGAATGGGCTCTCGTGCCCGTGCAAAATGCGGCCCCGCATGGCCGCATAGGTGTGAACCGGGGGTAAGGGCTCATTGTACACTGCAGCTGCTAAACTGACATTCAGGAGCTGTTCAGCGGTTTTTCCAGCAGTCCCTGAACTCGTAATAATTTAACACTTCTTTGCTATATTATATAAATGGCGCACAAATATTGATACCAAAAAAAAAAAAGCAGCCACCACAGTATTGCAGCAAAAACACATAAACATATAGAAGACAAAGGGGCGGCGTTATGGAAATCATAATACAGAAAATAAAAGTCCAATAATGTCCGGTATAAATACTGTAAAATAAATGCCTCTGTAATAAAATATTGTGGATATCCTATAAATTCCCAAAAAAGCTCCAATAGATTGGAAGAGTCCACCATCACCAACACCCCAAAAATGATCTCTCTTACCGGACCGAAATGACCCCTCAATTAAGTACGGGTCAAAAGAGCGCAGTACAGATTCCAAATGTAGATAGTGAACCCGGACACTTTTTGGCTCCAAAGGGACAAACTGACCCCCAGAGGTTGAATGAGGGAAATGCCTGCTGGATCACTTTCAAAAGATTCCCATAATTATTATTATTATTATTATTACACAGTATTTATAAAGCACCAATAGTTCGCTCAGCGCTGTACATTACAATAATCAAGACAACTCCCAACCAGGGGTGGACTGACAACTCATTGGGCCCCCAGGCAATAGGGGATCATGGGGCCCCTGTGTCCTTGCCCAAACTCAAAAAAGCCTATGAAAAATGTACCAGGGACATCTCATGGGGCCCCCTACTGACCCCGGGCCCTCGGGCAGTGCCCGAGTTTCCAAATGGTCAGTCCGCCCCTGCTCCCAACTGATAATCCAAGAATGAAGCCAGAGATAAACCTGTGAAAATGAATTATCCTCAAAGAGGACGATAAGCCCCTGAACTCTCCCTAATGTCCTCCTATGTGTCCATGTACAAATCCTCTTTTATAGGCAGTTGAGTTTACAGTTGTTTTTTTGAACGCACCAAATTTGCATTCAGGAGTAGATTTTACTGGCGTTTCAAACGCTAAACGTGTAAACGCAGTTAACCGTGTTTAGATGCGTTTTTTAACTGTTCCATATCCAGATGCTGTCCAGAGCTTTTTTTCATCATCAGATATGCTTTGCAAAGCGTCTTCCATGTATTCATATGGACTCGGTACACCAGCGTAGTCAGTTCCAGGTTTCGTGTGCAGGAAACAATGGTAGAACGAGCCGCACTATACTCATGATGGGATCCATAGTGAATACAACCAGAAAAGACAGGTCATCTCAACACATACTGCTATCTCTGCTTCTGCTCTCTCTATTCCTCTCAAATTGTCTCAAATAGTTAATTATTTACTATTTTGCAGTGCATTCTGGGCATTTTGGAAGGTCTTTTGATATTATCTTTTAAAAACGCTTCTAAACGCGATATGCAAACGTGGCTACACTGACGTTTTTTTTAACCTACGTTTTCTAGAAGTCAGTTTCCATCGTTCAGAAGAGTACGTGTACATGGAGCCCTAAGACGTAATTCCTTGGTTAGGTCACAGACATAGAAAATAGATCTACTTCCCCAATCCTTCACTCCTCTGCGCTGCTAGACTGATCCCCACAGCGTCTCCGTTCCCATGCTCTGGTGCTTGAAGGTGGCAACATCATCAAGACTCATGCTAGGTCTACATCCCTGCATTGAACATGATGATGGCAAATCCACTGCTGGAGGGTGGGTGAGTGCCCACTCACTAGGATCAGGGAAATTAAAGGGATTCTCCTTCTTCCCTAGAATAAGTGAGCAGTTAATGGTTGCAGTGCAGATGCAGCACCGCTGTAGGAGATCATTTTTAAGCTGCCCGAAGTTGCACGTTGAAGAAGTTGCACCCGGAGTTGCACCTGCAGAACTGAAAACTGATAACAATGGTTTCACTTCTCTCCTGCTTAGAAACATCAGGTTTTGGGGGTCATTAAATGTGTACACAGATCTTACAAATCTTTGCAAGCAAACCATTTTTGTGTATATGAGGTTTTTAGCTTGCGTTTACCTTTTAAATTGACCTATCCTGGATAGTTCCTAAATATTAGTGTACTTTTCTAGCAAAATGCTGTCCTTCATAGGGAATATTTATTTCAGGTACTTATATATCGCCGTCAATTTACGCAGCGCTTTACATATATATTGTACATTCACATCAGTCCCTAACCCTCAAGGGGCGTACAATCTAAGGTCCCTAACTCACATTCATACATACACATACTAGGGACAATTTAGACAGGAGCCAATTCACCTACCAGCATGTCTTTTGAGTGTGAAAAGAAACTGAAGTACTCGGAGGAAACCCGCGCAGGCACAGGGAGAACATGCAAATATATAACATCAAGGTAAAAAACCGGGATGCCTTTGGCTGAAAAATAGAAGGAAATCTAAGGGGTTCTAATCATGGTAACCCCCAATGTAGCAGAATTAATATAGCCAACTCACATATTAGTAGTTATGTGGTGTCCTCAGAACCTATAATCGCATAGAAAAAAAAGTGAAGACCAGGGAAAGAGATCCCTAAGGTCAAGGGGTCCCAATGTGGACAAACTGCGGCTTACTTGAAATTCAACCATTTATTGCAGTAAATATATGCAGACATGTAAAATAACAAAAAAGAGAGACCTCACCACCACCAACAAAGAGAAATGAAGGATGGAACTGATGTGGTCATCCAAGATGACACCATGCGCAGAGAAGTCCCGGCCAGGGGCGGACTGACAACTCATGGGGGCCCCCGGGCAATAGGGGATCATGGGGCCCCTGTGTCCTCGCCCACAATCAAACCACACCCAAAAAAGCCTATGAAAAGGTACCAGGGGCATCTCATGGGGCCCCCTACTGACTCAGGGCCCTCGGGCAGTGCCTGAGTTCCCACATGGATCAGTCCGCCCCTGGTCCCGGCACCTCAGTGTTTTTTGTTATTTTACATGTCTATGTATATTTACTGCAATAGATGGTTGAATTGGTTTTTCAAGAACATGCAGGTGGTGTCGTGGTTGGGATTCAAACCAGTGACCCTAGTACTGCCAGGTGGAAGTGCTCACCATTTAACCACTGTGTATTTTATTGTGTGTGTGGGTGTTTTTCAGTTTTTTTTTTTTTTTTTTTTTTTTAATACAAAGGGCTCCTAATTCTCATCTTTTGGAACCCTGCGTGACCTAATTAGATTGGAGGCCACCAGTCCCCTGTCCTCATTCCTGCAGCGGTAGACCCGCCCAATGCAGATATTAGAAGCGCTTTGTTCCCAGGTAACATGCACACTAATAGCAATTGAATTATTCAGAGATGCCTTGGAAGATAATGCAGTTAAATATGACATACATCTCAGTAATGGATTACAGGTTGAATACTTGAACCTTGAGTGGCAGTGAAACATTAACATGATTGTCAATGTGTGCTCATTTCCTTCAGTTCTTCATATTGTAGAAAAAAAAAAGAGTTGGGTTTTTACCCCCCCCCCCCCTTTTTTTTTTTTTTTTTTCTTTTTTTTTTTTTCTATACTAACCTATTCCTCACCATGGAGAACAAAACCAAGAGTATGTTTTACTTCCCTCCTCCCCAGCAGTGTTTGCTCACCTTTCCTTTGCTTCTCCGTCACTGTTTAGCACTGGGAGCATGCGACTCACTCCATGTGACAGAACTGGGCCAGTCAGTGCTTTCATATAGGATGGGGGTGCCATAGCCCTGCACAGTAGGAAGCATGAGGGATGTCCAAAGGAATGCTGATTAAAACTAACCTCTATGATCAAGCCTCAGGGTAGGGGCGAAACGCATTGGAGGGCATGGCCTAAACCAGGGGCGTCAAACTGGTGGCCCTCCAGCTATTGCCAAACTACAAGTCCCATCATGCCACTGCCTTTGAGTGTCATGCTTGTAACTGTCAATCTTGCAATGCCTCATGGGACTTGTAGTTTGGCAACAGCTGGAGGTCCGCCAGTTTGACACCCGTGGCCTAGATGATGCTAGGCTGTGTTTTCACCCCAATTTCACCTCTGTGAGGGTTTTTATCACTGTCTCTGCTTCCCCTTTGGTGAAATTGAGGTGAAAACCCAGCCTAGCATCATCTAGGCCACGGGTGTCAAACTGGCGGCCCTCTAGCTGTTGCCAGACTACAAGTCCCATGAGGCATTGCAAGATTGACAGTTACAAGTATGACACCCAAAGGCAGTGGCATTATGGGACTTGTAGTTTGGCAACAGCTGGAGGGCCACCAGTTTGACACCCGTGGCCTAGATGATGCTAAGCTGGGTTTTCACCTCAATTTCACCAAAGGGGAAGCAGAGACAGCGATAAAAATCCTCACAGAGGTTCTTGCCCTTCTTCTTCAATAACATTTTTTTTTATTACTGTGCCCCCATGTGAGATATTTCCCCCCAGTTACTGAGACAGCAATATAAAGGTCACAGAAGATCTAAGCCTTCCCCTCTTTGTCTAAAATTAAGAAACCAAATAACATGCCTTGTACTGATACTGGTCGGTCCCTTTTTCTGTGCCACTTGTGTTTACGGCATAATTAGCTTTTGCAGGTTCAGTGTAACTCATTTAATTTCGACCTCTAAGGATAGCGTCCCTGACCTCTAGGGTCTACCAGGAGCCACCCTGACTTGCATGCTCCCAGCCTAGTCTTTATGTCTCATTATGTGCATGTTTGGGTATTCTATTTATTTATTTATTACAGGTACTTATATATCGCCATCAATGTACGCAGCACTTTACATATATATTGTACATTCACATCAGTCCCTAACCCTCAAGGGGTGTACAATCTAAGGTCCCTAACTCACATTCATACATACACATACTAGGGACAGTTTACACAGGAGCCAATTCACCTACCAGCATGTCTTTGGAGTGTGGGAGGAAATTTGTAGAAATAGATGAGATCTGCAAAATACTTACTATGCTTCTTGTTGGGTTCCTTGGGGTGTCTGCTTTCCGGGGGGGGGTCATGGGGGGGGGGGGGGGGGGGGGGGGTTGGGTTCTGTCCTGGCGTTTCGGGGGCTTCCAGGGCTGTGGTGGGTGGTCTGGAAGTGCAGTGAGGAAATAAGGCCCTTCAAAAGCCTGAAGGTGCTTATTGGATTTTGGGGTCCTCTGCTTGGCTGGACTGCCAGGGCATCTCTCACGTGTGGTGCCCCCATGCTCGGGGAAGGTGGCAGAATGTGTTTTTGGGGAGTGATTCCACATTTTCCCATGTCGTGTGCGAGCAGTAAATCATCCCTTCCTTTAGATTGTAAGCTCCACGAGCCGGGCCCTCACATTCCTTCTGTACTGAAATGTATTGTAATTGTTCTTTCTCCCTTATATTGTAAAGCGCTGCGCAAACTGTTGGCTCTATATAAATCCTGTATAATAATAATAATAACCCACGCAGGCACAGGGAGAACATGCAAACTCCAGGCAGGTGGTGCCGTGGTTGGGATTGGAACCAACGACCCTAGTACTGCCAGGCAGAAGTGCTAACCATTTAGCTACTGTGCTGCCCATGGGTACAGTTGTATTGCACCACTGTGCATTGTAGCTGGGGTCCCTATTGTGTGCCCACTTGGGCAGTGTTGTGGGTCCTTATTGTGCCTGCTGAGGTGCCATGCTTAGGGTGTGCACATGCAGCCTCGCAAGGATACTTATCATTGTGTACCCATTGAGGTGCCATTTTTATGGCTATGTAACTTGGCTGGGGTACTTATTACGTCTTCTTTTCTTTCTTTTTTTTTTTTTTTTTTTGTCTTTTGCTTTTTAGGTTACTGTTGCATAATGTGGCCAAGTCTTTATCATTGTCCCTTCTCAAGTACTATGCTTGTGGCTTGGGCCCTTATTGTGTCCACTGGAGTGCCATTCTTGGGTTTCCATGTTCACTAAGGTGCTGTGCTTAGGGTGCGCAAGTGCATTGTGGCTGGAGTCCTTATTATTGTGTGCCTTCTTCGGTGCCATGCTTAGGGTGTGCATTGTGGCCAGGGTCTTTGTGTTCACCAGATCTGATGGTGGAGATGGGGGTTCTGCTGTGTGATAGTACCAGGTCATGATCCAGGATTACCCCACCAGGAGGTGAGCAAGCCGAGATCCAGTAGCTGATGTAGCAGGGAGAGATCAGGCAGAAGCGTAGTCAGTAAACAAGCCAAAGGTTGGTAACTCTTGCTCCCGTCTGTACCTTCACTAGCACTTGTTACCAGAGTGAAACATTAAAACAGGTTGGCCTCCCCTCTGATGATGTGCATTGCGCCAAAGGCCTTAGGAGGAGCCAACAGAGCGTGACATCACTGCTGCCTGGAGCCACGAGGAGGCCCGGCGGCCATCTTTAGTAAGGGGATATCCCAATACAATGCACTACCACCAGAGGGAGGGAGCCCTGTATCCAGTCTGTGCACCCATCCAACCTTAAGGGGACCTCTGGACCTGGCAGTTTTAATTACCACCAAGACAAGATTTCCTTCCTTTAGATGGATGCTCACCTAATCCGCCTTCCTAATTGACCTGGTTGGATATTGATTATATGCGCAATATCTATGCGCGTCAGGTGAGTGTGCATTTCTACCATTTGCTCCTATTATCACTTGGCTTGGTTTACTGCGACATCAAGTGGATTACCTTTACATTTACCTATTTTATGAACTATTTATGCGTTTATAACGAACTATTTATTCATGCGTTTACAATAATTCTTTTTTTGGGGCATTTTATTATATATTCGTTTACTCACATATAGCGCTGCACTTTTATTTATTTATTATCAGAGTGAAACATTGACTGGAGAGGGCACAGCAATCTGGCAGACTGGAAGTGCAAAGGCATGGCTAAAATAGAATGTTCATGGGAGAGGAACAAAGGGTTCAAGGTTCATGAGAAACGGGGTTCAAGGTAGGATCATACAAGGAATTGTCCAAGGAGCTGTCCAGCATCCCAGGTGGCTCATCAAGAAGAGACATCGCCAGACACAGCAGCGGTTGTAGGTTCAGAACTGGGTTCCAACATCCATAGGTCAAGCAGGAATTTGCAGTGAGGGTTCAATACTAATTTGTAGGCTTGATGTTAAAAAAAAAAAAAAAAAAAAAAAACAGCGAATGAGGTGCTGTGCTTTTGTGACACTTGTAATCTGATTGGATAATGTTCAACACCACATAAAGTCAAAGCGCATTCTTTCTGGGGTTGCCTAATTGCCCGATGTGATCATTTTCTACAGGGAAATGATAATGGCAGAATGAACAGAGAATCATCACGTTCTGTAAAATATTCACTACTCCGCATAAATATCCATTCATTCCCAGCACTTCGCTAGCAATGTTTTTAAGATTCCATTATTGCTGACAGCTAATCCGTGTGTGCATCTCAGATTAATCTTCGCTTCCGAAGACGTGTCTTAGCACGGAATTATCCGAGACTCTCTTTATCGAGCAGGAATTCATTCTCATCATTCATGGAGGTAGAGGCTGGTTAGATGGGGGAGTGCCAGTATTAATTATAGAGCAGGGATTCTTCTTTGGTGGGATTGCCTTTCCAGGCTGTGGGGGAATGAACATGGAACCCCATGTAGATGAAAGGGTACCAATCAATCCAGTTTTGGGTAGCCATTCGGGGAGGGCGTGTCTTTGTAAAGTAAAGCCAATTTTTAAGTAGTTGTGTACATTTTTAGATTGCTGTGATTGGTCATAGGGAGACCATTACACATCTGATCTTCATAGTGTCTCTATGTGACCTGTATATTTACCCCCTTTATCCTGCCCATTAACCACTTTATTTCCATCTCCCCAGTGAATATGACCAGCACATTAACCCATTCACCACTTCTGTCCTCCAAATATGTGCTGTACTTAGTGCACCATTTCCAAGCTCCATGTTTTAAACCCCTTTAAATCCAGCTTGTTTCTGTATTTGCAAAAAAGTTTGCCCCCCCCCTCCTCTCTCATT